ATTGGTAATTTTGGAATTTGGTAATTTTGGAAATTGGAAATCTTGGAATTTGGTAATTTTGGAATTTGGTAATTTTGGAATTTGGAAATCTAGGAATTTGGAAATCTTGGAAATTTGGTAATTTTGGAATTTGGAAATCTTGGAATTTGGTAATTTTGGAATTTGGTAATTTTGGAATTTGGAAAACTTGGAATTTAGTAATTTTGGAATTTGGTAATTTTGGAATTTGGAAATCTTGGAATTTGGTAATTTTGGAATTTGGTAATTTTGGAAATTGGAAAATCTTGAAATTTGGGAATTGCGGAATTGGGAAATTGGGGAATTTGAGAATTTGAGAATTTGGTATTTAGGTAATTTGATAATGTGAGGATTTGAGAATTTGTGAATTTTTTCCCAAATTCCCAGATTTCCAAATTTCTACATTTTGAAGTTTTCAAACAACCAAATCCCCAAACACCTAAATCATAAAATTCCAAATGTACAATCATTACATTTTCAAATTTTCCACCTTCCCAAAATTAACAATTTTCCATTTTCAGCGTTCAAAATTCTAAATTGTTAATTTCCACTTTCCAAATTTTCCAAATTCCCACATATCTAACTCAAAAGCTCCAGAAACCTAAAAATCTCTCAATCAGAGAGCAATGCCCACTATATTTCAATTTTCCCACAGAAGCCCACTACCGTACATTATACCTGAACAACAAAAGCTTCTATTCAGACGAGTTAAATATTTACGGTTCAATAACAAAAGGATAAAATCTGTATAACTGGCATAAACTTCACCAATAGCCTAATATTATAGAAGCGTGAGTCACGTTGCCCACAAATGTATTATTATAATGCAAATAAGAGAAGTACTTAAAGTATTATCAGCCCGAGCCTTTTATAATGCTGTCGAGGAAAGAATAACGAGTAAGGACAATTCTCTCGAGGCGAGTAGGCTAATTGCTGTTCGACAGTCCCATCATAAATCTGCGTTATGTTCCCTTTCGTCCTTGCTCAACCCTTTGAGTACGGACGCATATATGCGCTCTGAGAAATAAGCTCATCAGAACCTATTGCTAAATAAAGGCTTAAGACAATTTTTTTTAAGTCTTTAAAAATTTAGTATGTAATGTAATAAATCTTTTTAAAGTTTGAGTTGAAAAATGTGATTTAAGAGGTCGGTTACAGCAATTTTCTGTTGGCATGTGAATTTTTCACTTTCAAGTAAAATTTAAGGGATTGTAGATGTTAGGATAAAATTGCATAAAATTAAATGTTAGTATTAAAACTCATAGTGTAATGTCAATCAGCTGATTTAACCATACTTAGTTGAGGAATCAGTAAATAATAACTAAATAATAAGTTCAATAATTAATTAAGAATAGTGTTTGAAAATAGTGAACTCCTTTGATGATCAAACAATATTCATTCATTGTCTACAAAAGATTTTCATGCCTTCGTGACAAAGAAATCATTAATTTTATTCGACCAGTTTGAATTACCTCATTTCCCTGATTTACATCCTGATGAATTTTTAATGAAAGTTATAAGAATTGTCAAGAAATATTGAAAAGTTTACAAGTTAATGATAGAGCAGAGTGAAGAGTAGCATTGATAAAAGAATTTCATGAATGTTTAATTAAAAACGAGAATCAGTTGCAATATTTATTTTACAAATTGTGTAACAACTCACAAAAGTTATTACATTTATCATGTAATAAGAATGATTATCAAAGCACATTTAAATTATAAACTTGACAGAAAATCTATACTTGGTTATTATAAAAGATCACTATCAATAAATAAACAATTTTACTTAAATAAAAAAATGGTGCAAAAATTGTATTTTCAATTTTATTTTACAATATTTTAAATTGCTTCGAATAATCCTTTAACTATAAATTTTTGAGCTCAAGCTTAAACAGGATCTTTATACATCCTTTTCTTTTATGAAAACAAATTTTAAGAAATTTTATGAAATTTCTTTTTAAGAAATTTTTTCAGTCACCTTAATGTATATGCAGTTGAATTTTTGTATAAGTTAGATTTTGATATGAGAATAATTTTGGAACCTGAAGTAACAGCACGTCATAGAAAAATTATTTCAATAGTGATGCAAAGTGAATCATTGTCGGGTATTGACAAATTATTATACTGTACCGAAAGGGTTGATGAGACAGTATTTTTCTGATCCACAGATCATCATGTTCCTGGAGTGAGGCACGAGCGTGGAAAAAGGCTCTGGTTCGACGTGTCCGAGGTGCCACCTGGGGAACACATAATCGGCGCAGAGCTTAGGCTCTATCGCAGTATGGATGTGAAGAATCGAAGAAACCGTGGGTCATATATGATCACGGCTTATCGTGTCCTTAGGACAGAAGACGGGTGAGTTTTAAACTACAATATCTGGTACAAACGTAATAATTTCTTTTTTTCAATTTAGAACTTGCGAATTGTAGACAAATATACAATTCGTATAAATGTTAATAATCGGTAATATAGTCATGCTTAAAAATTTTGAATATATTAAAATACATTGCATTATTCTTTTGTAAAACAATTGCGTAAAACGCAAATTTTGCATTGGGTAAAATTTTTTGCGTTAATAAGTAAATTTCTGGATTTACCTTTGGTTAAAATTGAAAACAAGTATAATACGACATTTCTATAGGTTTGACATTATTCAACATTTTTCTATAGCTTTTCAATAAAAACGTAATGTAAATTCAATAGAATAGAAACGTGATGAAACGTAATGTAAAAAAAATGTAATAATGTAATTTTATAATTACAAGATAGAATAGAAATACAGAATGAATGAAATGATACAAAAAATTATGAAAAATGTATAAAGAATGTTATTGTACAAGGGATAAACAAGTATAACAGTTCAGAGGAAATATTTACTTAGCTTATACTTTTTTATTAAATATTTTATTCACGTCGGTTCATGTTTTTTAGTATTGCAAAAACAGACAAATATTCGCAGAACTTTAGTTTTCCCGGATCTATGTATTAGTCTTGAAATTTACAGTGGATGTATAATTCTATGGAACTCTGTTTCATCACCTGTACTAGAAACAGTAATGGTAGAGATGGATAGTTAGTTTTTGAATCTCTCAAATCTGAAATTTCTAAATTTCTCATTCTCCAAATTCTTATATTCTCATGTATTCACAAATTCCAAATCTAAAAAATTATAAATATAAAAATCTTGAATTCCTAGGACCCAAATACCCAAACTCCAGATTTTCAGATCCTCAAATCTCTGTATTTTTGAGCCTCAAGTTTCAAAATCCTCATTCTTCAAATTCTAAATCTTTAATTTTCAAATCTACAATACTTCAGATCTTAAATCCCTAATTCGTAAATTCTAAATTTCCAAATCTGCAATTCCTCAAATCTTAAATCATTCATACCAGAATTCTCAATTTTTCAGATCCTAAATTCCTCATTCTCAAATTTCTAAATCTACAAATCCCTATATTCTTGAACCCCAAACGCTTAAGATCCTCACTTCCCCAGATTCTAAATTTCAAAATCCCAAATCCGCAATTCTTCAAACTTTCAATCCCAAATTCCCAAATTCCTAAATTCCCAATCTCCAATTTTCCAAATCCCTAAATCTCTAAATCCCTAAATCCCTAAATCCTTAACTTCCCAATTCCCATATTCCCAAATTCCCAATCTCCAAATTTCCAAATTTCCAAATCCTTAAATCCCTAAATCCCCAACTCCCAAATTCCCAAATTCCTAATCTCCAAATTTCCAAATTTCTAAATCCCTAAATCCCTAACTCCCAAATACCGAGAATCCCAAATTCCCAATCTCCAAATTTCCAAATTTCCAAATTTCCAAATCCTTAAATCCCTAAATCCCTAACTCCCTAACTCCCAAATTCCCAAATTCTCAATCTCCAAATTTCCAAATTTCCAAATCCCTAAATCCCTAGCTTCCAAATTCCCAAATTCCCAATCTCAAAATTTCCAAATTTCCAAATTTCCAAATTCCTAAATCCCTAACTCTCAAATTCCCAAATTCCCAATCTCCAAATTTCCTAATTCCTAAATCCCTAACTCCCAAATACCCAAAATCCCAAATTCCCAATCTCCATATTTCCAAATTTCCGAATCCCCAAATCCGTATATTCTTGAACCCCAAACATAAAAAATCAGCAATTCTTTAGATTCTAAATTCCAAATTCCTAAATCTGCAATTCTTCAGACTTTCAATCCCTAATTGACAAATTCTCGATTTTCCAGATCCTAAATCCCCAAATCCCTAATTCCCTAATTCCCAATCTCCAAATTTCCAAGTCTTCAAATCCCTATATTCTTTAACCGCAATGCCCAAAATCCTCAATTTCCCAGGTTCTAATTTCCAAATTCCCAATTCTGCAACTCTCCAAACTTCCTATCCCCAATTGCCGAATCTCCAAATTTCCAAACCCTCAAATCCTCAAACCCCCATATTCCCGAATCCCCAAAGTTTCAACTTCATAAAACTCTAAACTTCCAAGCTCCCAAATATCTAAATCCATAACCTCAACAAACTTGATACCACCAAATTCTCTGATCACTTGATCTTCCGCTCCAAACAACTGTTCCGTAACTATATTTTTTCTTCCATTCCAGTCCTTCAGCTTTTCCGCAAAAGCTCTAAAAGCATCAAGCTTCTTGCGAAAGCAGATTAGTGAATCTAGCTAAATTTCTAAAATTCCAAGCCAGCGAATCGCGTAAATTTTTTGTGCTTGCAGCAAGAAGTTTGCAACTCTGTCCCCTTAATGTCATTGTCGTGTTAGCAATTAGAAGGAGCCGATTCCCGGAAATGTGTTTCAGGTATTGGTTCTACCTGGCCAGTCAGTTTTGGCTGCCATTTTAGGGTGAGTAAGGGTAGCTGATAGTTCTCGAGGTGACCTTTAACTGCTACGCAGACCAGAAAGAAGGTTAAAGGAGGGGAATATCGTGGAAAAACGGTACTCCTTCTCTTCTGTCTTTCTCTTCAGTTCTTTGGAGGTGCAGGTTTCTCCCCTGGGTGGGTGGCTAGACCAATTTCGTGTTCCTTCAGGCAAAGTCCGTGGTTTTTGACATCGTCATCGTGCCTCTAATTAGGCCGTCCTTAAGTCGCCGAAAAAATCTCAGGTATTTGTTCTACCTGTGAGAGAGTTTCGGGGACCAGCCCACCGGTCTCTTCTCGATTCTAACCTTTCTCATTCATGCCCAGGGCCGTCTACACGAATAACGACCGGCACTCTTTTTTCTAGAAGCACCGAACGTTACGCCATATTCCGATCGATTTTTATCTAACGAAAGGACCCGTTAATACGATACAAATTAGTCGATGGACCGTGTAGCATTTTTGCTTCGCGTCGCTGTTCCTATCGTCGCAGTTCATCGATTATTCCTCTTATCCTTTTAACACTTTGATGTTCGGGTCGGTATTAGGTTTTTTTTGGTGATGACTGCTTGTACTCGTCGTTGAAGAAAAATTTAAAGTAAATGTTGGTTAAAGTGAAATTTAGGTAATAAGAAACATGTTTGTTTAATATATTAACATCAATGTTAATATATAATCAATATATATGAATAATGACATCAATGTTATTCTATAGTTAATATATATGAATAATGGCATCAATGTTAATATATATGAATAATAACATCAATGTTAATAAATATAGATATATTGAAGAAACAATTAGAATTTGTCAATACACAATATACCAGGACAGATTTCTGGTGATAATTTTGATCAAAATAAAAATTCGTAGCAATTCGATTGTATTATTTAAAGTTAAATTTATGTAAAACAAGGAACATGATTTTTTTAAATAGTAATGATCTAAATATTCTTTACCACATGCAATAATTAAATAAATGAAATGCAGTAATAAAGGAACAATGAAAAATTATTTGAACATAAAATGATTTTAACTATTCTAACCGATAATTTTTATCAATAGTAAAAATTTGATTTTATTATTTAAACTTGAATTTATGTAAAATAAGGAATATATTCATGATTTCAACACATTTTAGAACAGCAATGATCTAAATATTCTTCAACCACATGCAATAATTAAATAAATGAAATATAGTAATGGAGGAACAATGAAAAATTATTTGAACATAAAATGATTTTAACTATTCTAACTGATAATTTTTATAAATAGTAGAATTTCTATTTTGTTATTTAAATTTGAACTTAGGTTAAACGATAAACGTATTCATAACACAGTTATGATATATTTATAACATATTTACAATGCATATTTGTTACTTACGTCATATGTGTTTAACGTACGTCATTTAAACGTAATTTGTCGTACATCGTGCTTGTTAGTAAAATTTATTATTGTCGATCAAATTTGTGTTTAGCTTGCGTTATTTGAATTTATTTTGACATACATCGTCCTCATTAATAAAATTTTTTATTACCGGTCGAATTTGTGTATAATTTGCATTATTTCAATCGAACTGGACATACATCGTCCTCATTATTAAAATTCTTTATTATTATTGATCAAATTTGTGCATAACTTGATTTATTTCAATCTAACTTGACATACATCGTCCTCATTATTAAAATTCTTTATTGTTATTGATCTTTGTGTATAACTTGAATTATTTCAATCTAACTTAACATACATCGTCCTTATTATTAAAATTCTTTATTATTATTGATCGAATTTCTATATAACTTGAATTATTTCGATCTATCTTGACATGCATCGTCTTCGTTAATAAAATGTTTTGTTACCAATCAAATATTGATTTTCACCGCAAACAGAATTTTTAAAATAGCACCAGCCTCCTCATTAGATATACAAACAGCTCAAACTGTTGCAATTTAAAGTGTTTTCAAGTTACAGTACTATTTTGAGTGTTGCTTTCCAAACATCTTTGAAACAAGTCGTATAAGATTAAATCCTCATAAGTCAGCCTTATTCTTAATAGGACTTCTTTATTTAAAGACGGTTTATCGCGTGTGAAAGACAGGTTTATACTTACCTGACGCGTAAATTATTCAGCTAATGCGATGATCCGTACATACTTTTTTAAACCTATATAACTTCATTATTTCTTGAATTTCTAGAAAATGTTCGAGGAATGTGTCTTCTAACAACTATGAACATTTGAAAAATTTAGGAATTTAGACAACCTGTTTTTTATATTTCAGTGAGACGAATGTTAAGACAGAGTTTTTAGATTGTATAAATTTTGAAGTTTTTTGTGGAAAATTAGGAAAAATTTTGATGGGAGGGTTTTTTAAGGGTTGATATTTGAATAATTGTGAGATTTAAGGAACTGAACATTTCATTGTTGGTTGGAATTTGTTTGTATATAGACTTATATGCATTTTAACGGAAATAAATTTGATTTACA